CCTGTCACAGAAGAAACTGCAAGTGTTGTAAAATGATCATGAATAAGGACTCCATCACATCAAATGGCAAAAAGATCAAATCAGCCCCTGGTTGTTGCAAGACCTATAACATCATCTATCTTGTACAGTGTTCGATTTGTAAGAAAAACTATGTGGGTAGGACTATTAATAGCTTGCATAAAAGGATGGACGGACACAGGTCCAAATTTTATGAAATCGTTGATGGTAGAGCATTTGATATTACTAGTGATGAGTATAGCCTAGGAGTTCACTTAATTGACCACGGTTTAGGAGTACATACAGATTTTAATGAAACTTTTAGAACTTTTATTTTAGAGAATTGCAGTCCCAGTACACTTGAAGTAAAAGAAAATAACTACATACATTTGCTTAATTCTCTTAGACCTTTTGGCCTTAATACTGTCAATCCCTTTGGATTACCTATATTCCATAAACCTTAATATGATCTTTTTACCTTTTTCGGATTCTTAATTTTGTAACGGTTTGAGTTTCACTAACCTTTTAACATTTTTTAGGTTCAATGTCACTGGAGATGACTACAATCGAAATATATTTGGCAAGAATCTGAATGTTTTCAGTGTTGAAAGTTTAGTTTCTTAAAATCCTGGAGTAGTCATTCGTGTCCCTGATATTTGGGTTAATTCTAACTCTCCTACCTTTTCTGGATCATAAGTAAGATAAGCAAAATAAATGCTGATATGATCCTAATCAAGCTGTCGAATTAGTCTGAAAATTTGCGGGACACATTTATCTTCCGTCGAGCTTAAAATAATTACACGTCTGAAGTTATTTTATAGGATCTATAAACTGCTAGCGTTGGAGCTTGCTGGTATCAATAATTAATACATTTAAAATCTTTTAAAGATGCCTTGGTTTTGAATTATTTCTAATAGTCCAATCAGATCGCCAGTCGCGGTAGTCGTCGTGTATTAGTGATTTTAAGATATCTGACATCTGAGTTTTGACATGGCTTGTGTTTTAGCTTGTATCGGCAACGTTTAACTATATCTCGATATCGATTGCTACAGAATTAATCACTAGATGCTATGCTCCGTACTGAACAAACCCTTTATATCATTTAAAACTCGCTGAGTAGAACCAGAAAATGATGGAGATATGGAGGACGACGCGTCAAATTAATTTCAAAGTTTTCAGACGCTGACGTATTAAAGCTCCTGTCTGATTTACAGCTTGCAATTATCATGTCAGATCGTAAATAGTGTGGCTAGTTTTTAATAAAATCAGATAATATATTATGGTTATTTTAAAACTTGGTGCAAAGAATCGGAATTGAGATCAAATTTTTGGATTGGCTGCGGAAGAATTGTGGATTGTTTGAGTTGTCCGACATATTTCCATATTCCGGAAACTTCTTTTTGAAGTTTTAATGATCATTGAAGACTTGTAGACTTTCTTCTGTGAATAAACTTTCATTTTTCATTTAATATCGATTCACATTAATTTTCACAGCAGATTTCGTAAATGTGGCCTTCAGATATTCAAATTAAAAACAATGTCAATCTCAAAGCCAGCGCCGTGAAGATTCTCAAAATCCCAAAACCCCAGTTATAATAGCCTGAAAGTAAACATTGTAACATCCCAATCTTCTACCCTCTGAAAATAACCCCACAATGTGATACAATTCACATGTTCGATCGTTCGGTAATCAGTAAAAGTCAGATACCCCGATACGATCCCCTGAGTATGTGTTAAACGCTACAGGTCACGTGATCAAAGTAAGTGTCACGTGTTCATAAAACAGGGAATCTGATTGGCTAAAGCTAGGAATCTGTGATTTGATTCTTCAGATTAATGGTAAGATTTGATATCAGGTCGGAGAAGGTCTGAAAATGAAAATGAATTACTGCTGTCTACCCGAGACAACTGTATCTTTGATCATGTGATCTTGACCCTATCACGTGATCTCGGACCCATTGCGTATTGGCGGCGTGTTGTCAGCTGACCAGACTTTAGATGGAACACTTCACCTTGCCATATAACATGTTTTTAGTGTCTGAATGTAATCGATAAGGCGTGTTTCGCGTGTGTCACCCCCACTAACAGTATATGTTGTAATTTGGCATTTCTAATGCTTTAGTCTCTGATTGTTTTTTATTTTATATCATAATTTTCTCGCTGTTGTTCTCAGACTGAATGTCGCCGGCCCAGCATTATCGTGAACCTCTTTCTGAATGTTTCTGAACGCTCAACCAATCCAACATCAGAATGGGGCTTCTTCCTCCAATCACAAAGCTGGATTAAATATCGTCCGACCTTTTCCGAGTGGTGTCACCCTTTTTTCAACCTGTCTCTAATTTGGTAATTTTAAAGACAGTGATTAGAATGGCGTTCCCATGCTCAAAATAATAATCAGGAATGATTAAAGAATTGCCCGAAGTAAGATCACAGGTTTTTTTTTCATCCAAATTTGGACCAGCACATTATCTGTGACTATGCAAAAGTATGACTATGAGTTCATAACAAAATAATATCACGCAACTTGTGGAGATGGCAAATTTCAAGCAGGTTTCTAAAGATTTTTAGAGATTTCTAGAGGTTTCTAGAGATTTCTAGAGATTACTAAGAGGTTTCTAGAGATTTACCTTTCCTTAACTTTGTACTTTGAATCTCAGCAAACTTTTGAGTTTTGCAGCAGCTATAACAGCCTACACTCTCCACAATATCGAACTTGAAGCAACGTCATCCTCTTATCTAGGTTTTCACTTTGGAGAACCACTAAGCTGAGGACTGCAGACTGGAAGACAGGAAGGCGGGACTTAACCTTCAGCGTATGTTTTTAAATTCATGTATCTATCACCATGTTCAAGTTCTGAATTTTACTTTTGAAGTTTTGATCTTCGCAACTCTTGTATGTAGTAGCATCTTTATATTGCCAAACTATTGAAGTATATTGACATTTCCGTTTATAGTATTGTGATTTAAGGACTTAGAAGAATCTTAACTACGGGTAGAAAGGTGTTGTTTTAAAAAGTTAAAACATGATTTCAGTTCTTTACGGCAATTCTGTTACAGTTTTACATCAAACAAGGATCAGTTTTGAGTTAAGCCCCTATCGTCATGTTTTAAAGTTTGTGCCTACGAATTTAAAAAAACGTTTTCAGCTGCTATTGTAAGTTATCTCCACTTCACTTCTAGGTTTTCAATCGAATAAGAATTCCATTAGAGTAAGCTCAGAAGGCGGCGTGGTAGCTTTAGAACTAGTTTTTAAGTGATTTCCCTGATTCCCTGATGAAGCATGTCATTCACATAATTCCTTAAGCATTGACATCTGTTTTCAGCTTTAAAACTAAGAAGTTACCGTGTTTGTTTTAAAACATGATTTAAGTTTTACAGAGCTGGTGTTTTGCTGGCACGTTCCTCCTCCGCAGGCGTTCCTCCTCCTCCTCCGGCCTGCATACCAGTTGAATTTTATTGGAGTCAGATCATTCCTTGTTGTCACAGTCCAATTATATTCCCCATCTCTGTTTTTAACTCTACTTTTGATCTAACTATCAAAGTATCAACTGCTTTAGCTAAACTATTGAAGTATTGACATTTCCGTTTTCAGAATTGTGACTTAAGGATTTAGAAGACACTTAACCTTAGGTAGGGAGGTAGCATGTTTTTAGTTTTACAAACCTACAGCTTCCCCGGTAAATTCCAGAACTCTACGAATCATTCCTTAATAGAGATACCTCGTACACCGTAAGCAAAATCTATTTTCATACACGCCAATATAGAAATTTTGTAATCGTTCAGTTCGGTTATAGATATGGGTTCTGAATGTGGACTGTGTTGTTTTGACACGTGACAGTGACTGATCGGTTAACTTTGCTATACCGTATAGCAATAGTATACGTTTCTGAAGCAAATATGGTTCACCGCACCGTCAGTATCTTGTTCATATGTCCGGCACACTCTACTTAACTTAGGAAGGCTTGCAGTCAATTTCACTAATCCTCGGACCACGACAGCTGGTACAGACTGCCACCACTGAGTTTTACCCTCACTACTTCGAACAGCTCAGTTCTCCATGTCATGTGCCTAGTTTTACTCATGTCACGTGGCTTTACTTGCTTCCTTTATCCCTGATCAGCTTTATCTTACCCCACGCTAAGGGCAAATTAAACTAAATTCTCCCCGCGAAGTTGTGGTCACGTGATTGTGAGGAAGAGTCCTGGTTGGTTGTCATGGTGAATCTGACAATATGATTGGATGGTGTTTGTTAACGTGCGAGACCGTGCTTCTAGTTTGATTTAATTTGTAAACAATCGCAAGATCCTTGTCAAGCTAGATTTTCGTGTGCCAGGGCTAAGGGTTTGTGGCCAGTAATCAGTTGATATAGCGGAGCAGTCTTTATTGTGTTTGATCATCAAACTTATCAACTTCATTATACTTAGGGAATCGTTATAAACATTATGACGGTTATGAAGCAATATTGTGGGGAAATCAAGCTGGTAAAATAATCAACCGTAAAACTTTCAAAGTTTTAGGTTTCCGATCAAAGTTGGTATTGAAAAGAAGTGAAAGCTATCATGGTGAATCATTTTTATTGCCTAATTATATTAATAAGGAATTGATTGAAAAAACTATGATTTCCTAGCACTCAAAAATTTCAATTTCTGAAAATAAGTTTAGTTGCTAAATCTTCACCAGTTCAAAATACACAGTAACCCTGTAAACAAACAAGTCGTAAGAATGTAGTAACTGCCACCTCCTTGTAAGTGTTCACTTGTAACTGTACTTTAAAATTTACTTTAAAATTTACAAATTCTGGAAACGTCTTGATTAAAGCCCGTTGTAATTCACGGTCTACAAACTTTACCATCTGGAAACAATCTTTAAAATCTGCGAATCTAATTAAAAACCCTTAAGGTGCTAATTCTCCCTAGTTAAACTTAAATCTATTTAGTTCCCCGCGATACAAAGTTGTCAATTGTGCTAACACAATCAAGCAGCTGGAACAGTCTAAATGAAATATATAAGATCAAGGTAGAGCCGTGTTCCTCACTTAAACCACGATTACTTTTTAAAAGTCTGTTTCACGTCTTAACTTGTTAACAATGAGAGTGTTTGTTGCAGTCGCTGTTTTAACGGCTTTGTTGGCTTTTGTAGCCGCTCAGGATCAGCCTGAAGATAGATCAGGTTAGTTACTTTAAATAGTAAAGGTTAGTTGGTAAGTTATTAAACTTGATTAATATAGTTAGTAAAGCACTATAGAAAGTTACCATTGTAAGTTATTGAAATCGGTTATTATTAATAGTAGGCAACTATCAGAATTTTTTTAAAACATTGAACATTTACGGTGGCCGCCATGGCGGTTTTTAAAATAATCGTTTAATTTCTAAATGCAATCAGAAAATGTCTGATATCAGTAGATGCTATTTGAAGTGTATTTGAATTTCTCAACAAACCAGAAAACTGATAGGTTTATTAACTAGAAATAACACCCGTCACGAAGCTCATTTCAGGTACAAAGTCTTTGATTTGTTAGTCAGTTGACCTGATCACGTCATGTTATTGAGCTGGATGACCATCAAACTCTCGGGTTAATCCTAAAAGTGGTCACGTTTAAGAACTGAATTTTCTACCACGTCCGACTATACAAATTTCAGTAACTAAGTGCAAGCATCATGTAATAACAATCTTAAAATCTCAATAAGTTAATATCTTTAGAACTGAACAGTTTCAATTCCTACTGTAAAAGTATAAACGCTTGTCGTTCATGAGCTGCTGTATCCAGACATAACCAAAAGAGAAAATTAAAATGTTCGATCCAATTTTTTAATTGAATCACTCTCTTGATATCAGCAAAACTTAATTGAAGGTTACAGTGCAGTAATTGTGTCGTTGTCATGGTTACCCATGCGCGCAGCGCAGCAATTGTGTCGTCGCCATGCAGTTACCATTCGCGTTTTTAACTTTTTAACATAAATCACCATTGACCATGTTAGATAATGATTGTTCGTAAGATATAATCCTTGTACTGTCGGGAAGAATTTGGATTAGCAAATCAATTTATTGAGCCTCAATATAGTGCCTCGCTAACCTCAATAATTGAAATGGTTTGCAGTTATACTTTAACGGAATATTATATTGATTAATTTAATAATGTCTGGTGACAGGTAAACTTTCGCGTTATTCCTAAGTTATAACTTAATAAGTCTTGGTGTCGGTAAAACTAAACTGTAGGTTAATTTAACACTAAACATGCTATTCCAGTTTCGATTTATTAAAAGATTAAATAATCAGATCACGCAATGTTGGTCAGCAAAGTTATAATTGCTTTTTTAGCTTGCTTTCTTAAATTGCCGGCAGTGCGAATGCCAAAGTTTGATAAGTACATTCCAATTTTTAAGATATACAGTGCAAGATTTCGCAGTAATGAGTTAATTATAAGTAATCAATTAACTATTGGTAATTTAAATTAAGGGTAATACTGTAATAAATGCTGAGCGGATATGTCCCAAGAACCTGAAATCAATTTTAGTCTTCATCAGCACTGACCGTGTACCAGTTTAAATTTTTGTTTAATTATTTGTCATACAGTAGGTGTATTAAAACAAAATAAACCTGAAATATCATAACTTTCGGCTTACTCGTAAATTGTCCCGTCTACAAATCATTTTATCTCAGTCTTGATATCAGACAAACTTTAAACTGTGGTAATAGCTTATAGCGCCCGACATGGCAGTTTCCATTCCTTGTCTCAATACTTTAATATATGCTCAACAGCTATATCAGGACATTACATAACGAAGAAAGCTTTAAAATGAGACAGCTTGATCCCTTTTTACAGCAAAAGTTTGATACCTCACTACCCAGTAGAACATTGTGCAATCAAAATCACAATTCACCCACTTAGGTCTTTTTTGAATAGCATTTTACTGTGACGTTCCAAATTATATTGTAAAATTCTCAAAAAATGTTTTGCTTCAAGCAAACAGATTGATCTATTTTTCTTTCGCTGTTTCGCTATTTCACTTTATTTCACTTTATTTCACTTTATTTCACTTTATTTCACTTTATTTCACTTTATTTCACTTTATTCCTCTATTTTCAGCTAACTGTTACTGGGGTGACGCGGAGCCCTGTCACTCTGAATCAGGCTGTACTTACGGGTGCCACAAGAGACTTTGTTGGTCTCAGTGCAACGGCGCCTGCGCTATCAAGGTCAGTTTTATTACTTTACTCTTATTGCTTTATTGGTATGAGGGAAAATGAATTTGTTTTTTAAAACTGCGTTATAAGGAAGTCCGTGTTATAGCGAGGTACTAATTATGTAGTTTTAAAGCTTGTTTCCGCTATTGATCAGCGATTAATGTGGTTGTGATAAGTCTATTCCTAAATCACCGATCCCTCACTCAAATGTGATAAGTCTATTCCTAAATCACCGATCCCTCACTCAAATGTGATAAGTCTATTCCTAAATCACCAATCCCTCACTCAAATGTGATAAGTCTATTCCTAAATTACCAATCCCTCACTCAAATGTGATAAGTCTATTCCTAAATCACCAATCCCTCACTCAAATGTGATAAGTCTATTCCTAAATCACCGATCCCTCACTCAAATGTGATAAGTCCTAAATTACCGATCCCTCACTCAAATGTGATAAGTCCTAAATTACCGATCCCTCACTCAAATGTGATAAGTCTATTCCTAAATAACCAATCCCTCACTCAAATGTGATAAGTCTATTCCTAAATTACCAATCCCTCACTCAAATGTGATAAGTCTATTCCTAAATTACCGATCCCTCACTCAAATGTGATAAGTCTATTCCTAAATCACCGATCCCTCACTCAAATGTGATAAGTCTATTCCTAAATTACCAATCCCTCACTCAAATGTGATAAGTCCTAAATTACCAATCCCTCACTCAAATGTGATAAGTCTATTCCTAAATCACCAATCCCTCACTCAAATGTGATAAGTCTATTCCTAAATTACCAATCCCTCACTCAAATGTGATAAGTCTATTCCTAAATCACCAATCCCTCACTCAAATGTGATAAGTCTATTCCTAAATTACCAATCCCTCACTCAAATGTGATAAGTCTATTCCTAAATTACCAATCCCTCACTCAAATGTGATAAGTCTATTCCTAAATTACCGATCCCTCACTCAAATGTGATAAGTCCTAAATTACCGATCCCTCACTCAAATGTGATAAGTATATTCCTAAATTACCAATCCCTCACTCAAATGTGATAAGTATATTCCTAAATTACCGATCCCTCACTCAAATGTGATAAGTCTATTCCTAAATCACCGATCCCTCACTCAAATGTGATAAGTCTATTCCTAAATTACCGATCCCTCACTCAAATGTGATAAGTCTATTCCTAAATCACCAATCCCTCACTCAAATGTGATAAGTCTATTCCTAAATTACCAATCCCTCACTCAAATGTGATAAGAATATTCCTAAATTACCAATCCCTCACTCAAATGTGATAAGTATATTCCTAAATTACCGATCCCTCACTCAAATGTGATAAGTCTATTCCTAAATTACCAATCCCTCACTCAAATGTGATAAGTATATTCCTAAATTACCGATCCCTCACTCAAATGTGATAAGTCTATTCCTAAATCACCAATCCCTCACTTAAATAATGTGATAAGTCTATTCCTAAATTACCAATCCCTCACTTAAATAATGTGATAAGTCTATTCCTAAATTACCGATCCCTCACTCAAATGTGATAAGTCCTAAATTACCGATCCCTCACTCAAATGTGATAAGTCTATTCCTAAATTACCAATCCCTCACTCAAATGTGATAAGTCTATTCCTAAATTACCGATCCCTCACTCAAATGTGATAAGTCCTAAATTACCAATCCCTCACTCAAATGTGATAAGTCCTAAATTACCAATCCCTCACTCAAATGTGATAAGTCTATTCCTAAATTACCGATCCCTCACTCAAATGTGATAAGTCTATTCCTAAATCACCGATCCCTCACTCAAATGTGATAAGTCTATTCCTAAATCACCGATCCCTCACTCAAATGTGATAAGTCTATTCCTAAATTACCGATCCCTCACTCAAATGTGATAAGTCTATTCCTAAATTACCAATCCCTCACTCAAATGTGATAAGTCTATTCCTAAATTACCAATCCCTCACTCAAATGTGATAAGTCTATTCCTAAATTACCGATCCCTCACTCAAATGTGATAAGTCCTAAATTACCAATCCCTCACTCAAATGTGATAAGTCCTAAATTACCAATCCCTCACTCAAATGTGATAAGTCTATTCCTAAATTACCGATCCCTCACTCAAATGTGATAAGTCTATTCCTAAATCACCGATCCCTCACTCAAATGTGATAAGTCTATTCCTAAATCACCGATCCCTCACTCAAATGTGATAAGTCTATTCCTAAATTACCGATCCCTCACTCAAATGTGATAAGTCTATTCCTAAATTACCAATCCCTCACTCAAATGTGATAAGTCTATTCCTAAATTACCAATCCCTCACTCAAATGTGATAAGTCTATTCCTAAATTACCAATCCCTCACTCAAATGTGATAAGTCCTAAATTACCAATCCCTCACTCAAATGTGATAAGTCTATTCCTAAATTACCGATCCCTCACTCAAATGTGATAAGTCTATTCCTAAATTACCAATCCCTCACTCAAATGTGATAAGTCTATTCCTAAATTACCGATCCCTCACTCAAATGTGATAAGTCTATTCCTAAATTACCAATCCCTCACTCAAATGTGATAAGTCTATTCCTAAATTACCAATCCCTCACTCAAATGTGATAAGTCTATTTCTAAATTACCAATCCCTCACTCAAATGTGATAAGTCTATTCCTAAATTACCAATCCCTCACTCAAATGTGATAAGTCTATTCCTAAATCACCGATCCCTCACTCAAATGTGATAAGTCTATTCCTAAATTACCGATCCCTCACTCAAATGTGATAAGTCTATTCCTAAATTACCAATCCCTCACTCAAATGTGATAAGTCTATTCCTAAATTACCAATCCCTCACTCAAATGTGATAAGTCTATTCCTAAATTACCGATCCCTCACTCAAATGTGATAAGTCCTAAATTACCAATCCCTCACTCAAATGTGATAAGTCCTAAATTACCAATCCCTCACTCAAATGTGATAAGTCTATTCCTAAATTACCGATCCCTCACTCAAATGTGATAAGTCTATTCCTAAATCACCGATCCCTCACTCAAATGTGATAAGTCTATTCCTAAATCACCGATCCCTCACTCAAATGTGATAAGTCTATTCCTAAATTACCGATCCCTCACTCAAATGTGATAAGTCTATTCCTAAATTACCAATCCCTCACTCAAATGTGATAAGTCTATTCCTAAATTACCAATCCCTCACTCAAATGTGATAAGTCTATTCCTAAATTACCGATCCCTCACTCAAATGTGATAAGTCCTAAATTACCAATCCCTCACTCAAATGTGATAAGTCTATTCCTAAATTACCGATCCCTCACTCAAATGTGATAAGTATATTCCTAAATTACCAATCCCTCACTCAAATGTGATAAGTCTATTCCTAAATTACCGATCCCTCACTCAAATGTGATAAGTCTATTCCTAAATCACCGATCCCTCACTCAAATGTGATAAGTCTATTCCTAAATCACCGATCCCTCACTCAAATGTGATAAGTCTATTCCTAAATTACCGATCCCTCACTCAAATGTGATAAGTCTATTCCTAAATTACCAATCCCTCACTCAAATGTGATAAGTCTATTCCTAAATTACCAATCCCTCACTCAAATGTGATAAGTCTATTCCTAAATTACCGATCCCTCACTCAAATGTGATAAGTCCTAAATTACCAATCCCTCACTCAAATGTGATAAGTCCTAAATTACCAATCCCTCACTCAAATGTGATAAGTCTATTCCTAAATTACCGATCCCTCACTCAAATGTGATAAGTCTATTCCTAAATTACCAATCCCTCACTCAAATGTGATAAGTCTATTCCTAAATTACCGATCCCTCACTCAAATGTGATAAGTCTATTCCTAAATTACCAATCCCTCACTCAAATGTGATAAGTCTATTCCTAAATTACCAATCCCTCACTCAAATGTGATAAGTCTATTTCTAAATTACCAATCCCTCACTCAAATGTGATAAGTCTATTCCTAAATTACCAATCCCTCACTCAAATGTGATAAGTCTATTCCTAAATTACCAATCCCTCACTCAAATGTGATAAGTCTATTCCTAAATTACCAATCCCTCACTCAAATGTGATAAGTCTATTCCTAAATTACCAATCCCTCACTCAAATGTGATAAGTCTATTCCTAAATTACCGATCCCTCACTCAAATGTGATAAGTCCTAAATTACCGATCCCTCACTCAAATGTGATAAGTATATTCCTAAATTACCGATCCCTCACTCAAATGTGATAAGTATATTCCTAAATTACCGATCCCTCACTCAAATGTGATAAGTCTATTCCTAAATTACCGATCCCTCACTCAAATGTGATAAGTCTATTCCTAAATTACCGATCCCTCACTCAAATGTGATAAGTCTATTCCTAAATTACCGATCCCTCACTCAAATGTGATAAGTCTATTCCTAAATTACCGATCCCTCACTCAAATGTGATAAGTCTATTCCTAAATTACCGATCCCTCACTCAAATGTGATAAGTCTATTTCTAAATTACCGATCCCTCACTCAAATGTGATAAGTCCTAAATTACCGATCCCTCACTCAAATGTGATAAGTCTATTCCTAAATTACCAATCCCTCACTCAAATGTGATAATTCTATTCCTAAATTACCAATCCCTCACTCAAATGTGATAAGTCTATTCCTAAATTACCGATCCCTCACTCAAATGTGATAAGTCCTAAATTTCCGATCCCTCACTCAAATGTGATAAGTCTATTCCTAAATTACCGATCCCTCACTCAAATGTGATAAGTCTATTCCTAAATTACCAATCCCTCACTCAAATGTGATAAGTCTATTCCTAAATTACCAATCCCTCACTCAAATGTGATAAGTCCTAAATTACCGATCCCTCACTCAAATGTGATAAGTCTATTCCTAAATTACCAATCCCTCACTCAAATGTGATAAGTCTATTCCTAAATTACCAATCCCTCACTCAAATGTGATAAGTCTAT